ACTCAATATATTGTAATACGTGGAGGACCCCCAACCAGTAGACTCAATATAGTATAATACGTGGAGGACCCCCCACCAGTAGACTCAATATATTGTAATACGTGGAGGACCCCCAACCAGTAGACTCAATATAGTATAATACGTGGAGGACCCCCCACCAGTAGACTCAATATATTGTAATACGTGGAGGACCCCCAACCAGTAGACTCAATATAGTATAATACGTGGAGGACCCCCCACCAGTAGACTCAATATATTGTAATACGTAGGATGTCGGTAGTTTGAAGGTTGTGTTGACATTAATTTAGTTTACAGTTTAGAAACATCTGAAATCAGATCAGCGAAGATGTTGAGGAAAAGTAGTATCATCTACTTTAAATTCTCGCACATTCTGACCTCTGCACGGATTCGTATTTTCAATTGTGTTGTAAAACTTTACAAGCACAGCAGAACGCGTGCAACTGTAATCCCCGGGGGGATACTCAAATGAAGCCTCTGTTTGCTGTTTTAACACTTCATATATGGAAAATACCTTTACTGTAATAGAAGGTACATCCGGGGTTTTGCGTTAGGATACATCCTGCTTTTTCTTCGTTAAACAAAGAAGGTCCGCCGTCGAAACACCAGTTTTCGCGTCACTTATTTCACATCAGTGTATCACAGGAAAATACGTAGTGGAAGTCATGCACTCATTCTCTTCATTGTTTATTTTGATTTATAGATAATTATAAAGATCGATGTTTTTTTTTCAGGGAAGGAAGTTGTGGTGTAAACGGTTTTACAATGTTGTATATAACGAAAAAAACTTGTTATGTAAAAGCTGTTAGAGAAAATCTGTTTAAGCCCAGCCTTCTACCATGTCCAAAGGCAAGATTAGTGGGCTATTTCTGCTGTGCCCATCACGGGTATCAAAAGCTGGTTTTAAGCGCTGAGTTAGTGGGGGCCTAAAGGCTAGGTTGAAGTAAGTTATATCTAATATTTGTCTGTCTGTTGTTATTATCTGTGTAAGTTAAAGAATAGGATCTTAGTAGAAACTGCTTACATTCTTTGTGCGAACATATATCACAAATAAATCATTAATGATCTCATTATCATTTAACTCAAACCTTTTAATTAGAAATAGTACGTGCTTTAGTATGAAGATCGTTCGCCACTAACTTAAAACAATTTAAAATCCAGAGGTGTGCTTCTAAGTGTAAAGTAACGAGTGGTACTCACTTTATGTCGGGATTGCTAATTATCTGGCCGAATAATCTATTTTTCACTCATAGTTATTTATTAAGTCAAATTATTTAAATATATTTTTTTCTTATAAGAGTAAAAATATACGTAAAATTGAAAGATACCTGGTGACAAAGTTAAAATCAAACGCAGTGGAAGTAATTCTTATAATAGCAGCAGAAACTATAGTAATCAAAAGTCACTCTTATACGGTTACTAAAACTCTGTGTGTTTGATATGTATGTAAATCTTTTAAATCCCTGAAGTTTTTGATCGAACATTTTATATTGTGAATTTTTTGTTTAGATATTGGATATTTTATAGGTAAGAATATTTTTGTTATCAAATGTAGATTTTATATAAAGTAGCATAACGACAGTGATTTATACAGAAGAGGGTGAAATTAACGGATAAAGCACCTGCTGACATCTAGTGAACATTTATGTAAACAGTAACTTCTTGTGAACCAAGCGTTAATATATATATATATTACTAGTGTTACGATTACAAATATCGATGCAAGAAAAGTATATTTATATCTATTTACACGTGTGTAAACATCTGTAACTTGAAATATTTTATAATGTTTGTCGACAAAACTCTGGTAAAATAAACTGCCATGTGTGTAACACAGAAAAAGATCACGACAACCAAATTTGCTTACAGATATTACGTTTTATTGAATTAAATAAAGACGTTATCTTATAGAAGGAAAATGTCCATAGTTTATATCTGTTCAAGACTTTCAGATAAAAACTAGATCTTAGACCTTGATTGATATCATATAGTAAAAAGTTAAAAAATGTCGTGACAGCAATTTCTCTATCCAAAACTTCCCAAAAACTTTTCCAGTTTCACCTTTTTTTTTTTTAATAAGCATCAAGTTTGACTACATCGTAGACCTATCACCAGGTAGTGACAGTGTTGCAAAACATCACAATTAAAGATTTTGAGAACTTCAATACTAGACATGAAGCATGTTGGTTAAAGAGTACAAAATGTTTAAGTAAGATCCACAAACTTATGATTACTTTTTTTCAACTAAGCACGAAATATGTTTAATATAATCTTAGTTCTAGATAACAAAGTATACCCTAAAAATTATATCAAGAACCTGAAGAGTTATTTCAACTGGAAATGTCATTAGCAGATGGTAAAGTAGAGTGATTATTTTGTATTTTAGTAAATTTGTGTTTGAGACATTTTTATTGCTCTACTTCTTGATAAGTTGTTGCTGAATATATTGTTTAATTTTTAATAATTGGGATCTAACATCGATTCTATAGAAACACGCCCTTAAAACTACAACATTAATCGTCTGTTTTAGTTATCTGTTATCTTTAATCTACGTTAATCTTCCCACCCCAAAATAAAAATATCCGATATTCAGATAATTTGTGAAGAAGCTATAAGATAATATTGCCACAATAATGTAAGAAACAGGGTAGAGTAATATTCATTATATTTAAGAATACAGAAAGCAATAAATCTGACCCCCACTCTCCGCTTTATTCATTAAAAACGTGTTTCTTTGTTTTTGTAAAAGCTATAATCTAGTAAGTTTTGAAAACTATTGATACTTTAAAAATTTTTTGCTAAACGTTTTTATCACACACAATTGCAGATAGAACAACGTTAAATATTACTTTTTCGAAAAAAAACAGAAATATCCTGTTTTAGGATATATCTAACCCAATGCTCACAAGATCCAATGCAAATGGTGATGATACTTCCAGGAAAACAAAGACTGTGTGTGTTTTATGTGATACTTAAATTACTAACAGGAACCACACATGCTCGACACACGCATCATGTCTGTACTGAAAATAATCACGAAAAAAAAACAGTATATTATATGAAATAATAAGATGTTGGTCATTCAGCTTGAAGTGTGACAGATTTTCTTCAAATGATCAAATGTGTCAGAGCAGCTTGAAAAGGGGTGGGGAAAACGACGATATTTAATCATGCGAGTGAGTTTATTAGGGCTGTAATTCTTTTGCATGCATGTACATTGAAAGAATCAAAATATGATTTAAAAAAAGACTAAAGCTGATAATCTAAAAAACACACTTCATTCGTACCATCACAGAATCTATTATCTAAGGCTTGCAGCAACATATTTTTGTGAACAACTGATGTTTAAGTTGTCAAATATATCTCGTAAACATTACTGGACTCTCACTTTAAAATACACTTACAAAAATTCACTAAAAGGAAAATACAATATGTACATCAATATAATTTCAAAGTATTACCTTGTATTAAAAATAAAATCCTCAAAATATATCCCCCAGAAAGTGATATCCTGACTAAACTAAAACAGAAACAAAAAACAAAATGAAAATCACCTCCACACCTAAAATTTTTTTCTTTACGACGCTACGTCCATCTAGTGAAATAATATATAACTAATATTCTGTTGAAATGTTTCGGTTAAACATTTTTACCCAGTCATTTGACCAAATCTATGCTATTTTGTCAATCATTTCATTTTAAACACGTCGTTTTATTTGTTTCCCATTTGATAAAAGTCACTTGTCTAATATGTAAAATATTATTACCAGTGTTTTAACATTGCCGTATATCAAAAACTTGGTTATAAATGTTCAAAACGATCAGATCAGATCAACAGATTGAAGGACTTTTATAACAGTAACCAGACATATAAGTATCGTTTAATATTAATGGCAATTATACACTAATATTAGTATTAAAACTGAATTCTTGTAACAATAAATTACCTACTTTTCACCTTATATATATATATATATATAAAATATACATAAGGGATCATTCATAAAATATGTATGCAGGAGTGGGAAAAGGGAAGAGTTGTGTAAAATTGAAGCCTATACGTACAGGGTAAAGGGGTTTGTTGACATGTGAAGCCTATACGTACAGGGTAAAGGGGTTTGTTGACATGTGAAGCCTATACGTATAGTTTTTGTTTGTTTGTTGTTAAGCACATAGCTTCACACTGGGCTATTTGTGCTCCGCCCATCGCGGGTATTGAGACCTAATTTTTAGCGTTATAAGCCCTTAGGCTTATCGTTGAAACAATGAAGGGGATATTTAATTAACGAAGTGTAAATATATCATGTCGTTATAATTTTTTTATATTAGTAATACGTTGATTCTTATGTGTAATATGAGGGACATCAAAATGGTGTAAACAGTGTGTCCACTAGTACCTTTTGCTATCTCTGTAAAGGAAGAAGCATGTAGTATAACTTCTTCCCTCTCTTCGTGAGCATGTCCGCCAGGGTCTTTGCAACCCACATTTCACGTCCTATTTCCTTCGCATTTTATACCAAGGCAAGAAAACATCGTCCATTCATTGCATCCTTAATTTTAGTGGCGCGTTCAAAATTCAATATGGCTGCCTTGCCGCCATCTTTACAGGATGACGTTAGCACTGTAGCATCATGTTTACATTTTTGAGCAATCTTCTTCGAATTCTACAGTAACCTGCGGGACACTAGAGGCTCAGCTATATATATGGTTTGTGGGTATGCTCAACTATGTTGCCCTAAAACGTTTTGGCAATTAGAGGAACAATATGGCCACCAGGTAGCCATCTTGAAAAATCAGTTGCCAAGAAGTATGAAGAAGTGACATATGATCTATAAGGTTCAAGTGAAGGATGCTGTTGGTAAAAGAGTGTGCAACACATGTAGTACAAGCCACAAGCTGCAATCACCTGGCACAAGTCAGTCCACAAACAGACTCTACTTGTCAGATGAGGAGGAAGAAATGGAACCAGTGCCAGACCGTTAGCAACGAGTCCACAGCAAGCTGAATGAGGCCAGTGTAGAGGGATATCTCCGATACCCCGTCTTCTGTGTGGGCTAATGATGTGTGAATTTTGAAATATGTAAACTGGCACTTGCATGTTAATAAATTTACCTGACTGTTACTGTTAATAAAGTTATTCGTTTGATAAACATATAGTGCAAGATGTTTTTTTTCATGTAAACATCAAGTTAATCCTCCGTTATTCCTTTGAAGTTATGATAAAATATCACCAACTCGTACATGGGGGGGTAAGTTGTTGTTTAAAAACCTGAAATTTTGCGTACATACTTTATGGACGATCCCTAACTAACAACAGATGTCAACACAGGACAATAAACAGCTACTCATACTTAGAGGGAAACGTTAATTAAGCCTTGGACTAGATTAGGGCATACAAGGCAAACGTAATTGAGTTTAATGAAAAACTGTAGTTCTGGTTGAATGTTGAAACAACATCAATATTAATATTTTCTTAGAGTCAAACGTTACCAAGAATAAAGTGACATAGGAAAATTGGAAAAAAAGTTGTAAATATATATATATGTATTTATAATATGTATGTAAATATATCACATATGGAACGATTCAAGACTTAGATAAAAAGGTAGTAATATTACTGATGTTTTAGGAAGTAAGGGTTAACAAAGGTAAAGCCTTCAAACTCGCTGCCTGTCAGGTTGTTGATGACCACAGTGTCGGCAGGGGTCAAGGTGATTTTGGAGTTTGTAAAGACGGGATCAAAATTCTCCGCGGCCTTGGGATTTTTCTGTGCAAATGAGAAGAATAAAATTATGACATTTGAAAAGTTCTCATTCCACCAAACAAAACTTCTAAATCATACAAAAAATCAGCTAAGTGTAGAAAAAAAAAAAAGATCAGTTGTATTTAGACAAAACTGTGACTAACCCGCCCCTTTCTCTGCCATCTCACAGACTAAGAATAACCCGTCCGTTTATAAAATAATAATAACAAAATCCCAATATTATATTTTTATATAAATGCTACAAAATTAAAGCAAGTGTATTTAAAAATATTTTCCCTTTTCATGTTTCATTAACAAATTCGTCATTTAATCTATATTTGGTCTATTGTATTAGAGCATACGTAATTCCGACTGTCTGCGTTGTTAGTATCTCAGTGAATCCAGTTTTTCTTTTGTGGGTTATACTGCAATGACCAAGTAAAATATAAGCACGACACTCTCATTCGTACAAATGTATATGAATCATACAGAAAGTCAAACTAACTCTCCTGTTTTGCTCACTTTTCTGTCTAATTAGTTATCTGTTTCACTGAAACTTGAGTTGTTTATTTGTTGTTATGCACAAAGCTACACAATAGGCTATCTGTTTGTAGCGTTATAAGCCCTTAGACTTACCGCTGGGGCTCGGGATGGCCAGGTGGTTAGAGCGCTTGAATCCCCGTCCCACAAAACATGCTCGCCCTTTTAGACGTGGGGGCGTTACAATGTGACGGTCAATCCCACTATTCGTTGGTAAAAAGATAAGCCCAAGAGTTGGCGGTGGGTGGTGATAACTAGCTGATTTCCCTCTAGTTTTTCACTGCTAAATTAGGGACGGCTAGCGCAGATAGCTCTGGTGTAGAGTTGCGCGAAATTCAAAAAACAAACTCACCGCTGGACCACCAGTTGGCGATACTAAGTCTGTGAACGAGGTTATAGAGCTCATATACGTGTCCGCGGGTAATTACCAACAAAGTTATGTGTTTGTTTGTTTTTAACGGTGTAAGCCCCCAAACTTACAGCTGACCCACTGGGGCACATTTATGCGAGATTTCTAATGAATATTTTCAACATGAGTGATACCCCTTAACGCGATTCGTGTGCTGAATGGTCAGGCTATTCGTTAAAATTGCCTGTCACAGTTATATCGCCCCTAAAGCTGAAAGTGCGGAGTGTATTCACCAACATATCGCGGTTCGAACCAAGGACCTTTCAATTCGCTATTCATTAAAATTGCTTGTCACAGTTATATCGCCCCTAAAGCTGAAAGTGCGGAGTGTATTCAGCGACATATCGCGGTTCGAACCGAGGACCTTTCAATTCGCTATTCATTAAAATTGCCTGTCACAGTTATATCGTCCCTAAAGCTGAAAGTGCGGAGTGTATTCATGGGCATATCGCGGTTCGAACCAAGGACCTTTCACTTCGCTATTCATTAGGAAACGTCCTGTCTCCTCACATAAGTAAGAGTAACATTCATTAACATTAGTATCATTCTCAACTCCCCCCAAAAATAACAAAGTTTTCTGTTTATCTGTTTGACAGTCCGTCTGTTTTCTACTGTTTACATTCTAATAAGAACATACAATCTTAGGTTTAAATGGAGGTTGAACTTCTTTATTTTCAATCTTCTGCCAGTCTACTCTTCTGAAGAATGGGTGATTCCGGACATCCTCCTCTCCAGAAGGTCCACATCCCAGCCTTTTTGATGGGTTTTTAGTTAAAAACTAGACATTAAGAAAGCTACATTAGAAAAGACAATACATCTGTAATGAACACATTACATCATCAGTATGGGAAGTAAAAATATCTTTGTATTGGTTAGAATTATAATATCTAATTTTGTGATAGAGAACCATTTGTTTCAACATCGAATACATACAATCTGTTTTATATATATCCCGATTTGGCAGTCAACTTAACCTGTAGTTTAACAACACAAAACATTCGTATAATTTCTACATTGAGGGTGTATCTGAGGGCTTTACTAGTTTCGTGAATTCTCCGAAACTAGTCTGGTCCACAGACACCCCCCCCCCCAATTAACGAATAGACCATTCCAAGCTTTTACTTGTTGTTAAACAAATATTTAAACAACTCTGTTCAACTATGTATGTATCAGCTGCCTAGTGTCGGCTAACAATACGAAGAATTTAATTGTAGCAAAATGCTACAAGTTCTTCAAATACCTATAGAATGATAGGTTTCCTTTTTGTACACAATTTCGAGAAAAGGTGTAGGTTAGAGTAATAGAGAAATTAGTAACCAATAGGAAACAAAAAAGAAACAAGTCATATAAAGTAAGAAATACGCAAATTATACAAAACGGAAAACGTCTGCGTTTTAATATCTGATATGAAATTGTTTAGTTTTCTTTTCGACACCAAAAATTTAAGAAAAAAAAAACTTTCTTTTCATTCGATATGTAAATTACAAACTAATATTGGAATTTTATGGACTTTAAAAAACGTTAACTTACTCTTTTACAAATATCTTTGGCTTCTTTTGACAGAAACTTTGGATAAGAAACGTTCTGATCTGTAATCGAAGCGAATAATTCCTCTTCGTCCTCTCCATCGAAGGGAGGCTTGGAATGTTATAATACAATTAACAAAACCGAAACAGTAAGAATATGTATAATCTCTCTATATTGATTTTATTACTACAGTCTTCGCAATAATACATTTCCAGTTTATATATATATTATAGCGCTCCTCCGACAACAATAACATTAACAATGAACAGAACAATGATATTGTTGACAAAGAGAACAATGTAATGACCAGCACAATAACATGATCAGTAATAAACAGAATAATAGCATTTATTTTGAACAACAATAAAAACACTTCAGTTATATATATCACAATACAATGATTTAACTATATCAGCATGACCTGTAATATAACAAGTATAACAATGATTTACTTATACCGGTACCACACCATATCGTAATGATTTAGCTATATCAACATGACCTGTAAGATAACAAGTATAACAATGATTTAGTTATACCAGAACCACACCATATCGTAATGACTTATCTATATCAGCATGAACTGTAAGATAACAATGATTTAGTTATACCAGTACCACACCATATCGTAATGATTTAACTATATCAGCATGACCTGTAAGATAACAAGTATAACAATGATTTAGTTATACCAGTACCACACCATATCGTAATGATTTAGCTATATCAGCATGACCTGTAAGATAACAAGTATAACAATGATTTAGTTATACCAGTACCACACCATATCGTATTGACTTATCTATATCAGCAGGACCTGTAACATAACAAGTATAATAATAATGATTTGGTTATACCAGTACCACACCATATCGTATTGACTTATCTATATCAGCAGGACCTGTAACATAACAAGTATAATAATATTGATTTAGTTATAC